TTATGACGTCATATCTATGTAGTTAAGAGAAGTTACTACGGTTTGAACAGTTTGATATTTTACGGGCAGCCTTATCCTAGCTGCGATGTTTTTCATTCGATCTCTCTTACATTCATTCAAACTTAAATTAGTATTCTCTATATTGCAATTTTCTGCAGTTATTCATTCAAATTCTTTTTGGACAAATATATTTACATGGGAACTGGAACTATGTTTTTTGGCGTAAGATTAGCAAATGAGGCACCAGCATGATTTTATTGACTAATCAGCTGAATGAGAATTGCATTATGGGTTACTACGAATACTTCAGGAATTTTACGGTAAAAAGAGGTAAATCTTATGGTAAATGAATAGCATTAAAAAAAGTCGATACTATTTTCATGCTTGCAATAACAAACAATTAATCTGTTAAATAACCGATGGAAGTCTGGGTTTCTAAAAGTCATACTGCAAAGCGATTTGCGTCTGTATTAATTCCTTTGTTCAATTGTTGTACTATCAGTGAATACAATTGTCATGTGGATTCCCTGGCCAAAACACGTGATCACAAGTATAGTTATGTAAGCAAAGTTTTGTTTATTTAAATGCTTAAGAGATGCTGCTCGGTTTCCTTACCCTTGAAGCGCTTGTGTTCTAAACTAGACAAAAAAAAAACCTACATTTTTTTTCTAGTTAACAGTAGATCTTTCATACTTTCTAATCTTTGTATTTTGTTCATAAGAACATTTCTTTTATTTTTCACTCCATTCACAAGATCATAGATTGAGCCGAAACACGTGTTCGAAGTAAAATGTAAACATGTATTTGGCGTACACGTTGCTATTCATTCAAAGATTGGTCAGTTGCTCGTGGTTAGATCCTCTGTGCGCATTTATAACAATAACCATATAAGGCAAACAAAGATTTGTCAGTGTAGATGATATTACAACTATTTTTTTTACCAGCGTATAGGTAGCTACTAACTATTATTTTCGCCGTAAAGTATGATACGATATATATTGTCATTCAACACCCCCCTTGAAGCACCACCCCTTGTCTGTTTAAAATCATGAAAGTTTTTCAGAAATGAAACCACATTTTTACAGGACATACAGACTAAAGGAATTTCCTGTTTACTGCCATTTTTATTTATTAAACCGGTTCTGCCCTATAACCTTTGAATAGATCAATCTAAACCACGTGCCTTGAATTTAAACCACAATAACATAAGTAGGGGTGTACTCCAAAAAAATTATTTTCTTGAGTAAAAATATAATAGGGCCCTGTATTAATACATGAAAACTATGTCTAGAGGATTTGTATCTTCTATAACTACGCGTATGCTAAGCTGCCATATATGTAAACATCTATATACATGTATCAGATACTTAATCCTCGTTTTAATTAACAGACATTGAATAATTAATTTTTTTTTCTATATAATACCAAACACAAAAATTAATAAATATCGACAGAGTGAAATGCTACTTTTCCGACAAAATAAATCATTACTATTAGACTTTTTGTGTATTTTTACTAAAAATAACTCGAAAAAGGTTTAAGACGGCAAATTAAATAAAACCTTTAAATTATGAAATACCAAATAGCATATGAGAAATTTTCGAAAGTCCAGATCTTGAAAGTCCATAACCAATTCAAAATGACATAAAAAAAGATTTAAATTGCATTTACATTGTACTGGGAAGAATTTACGCATATAACTATTACATATGTTTTTTTTTTCTTTGGTACTATGTAAAAGATTAATCTAAAATTTAAATGACTGAAACCAGAATCGAAATCCGCAGCACAGTTAAGGTTACAAAAAGGAGGCGGAGCCTAATTTGTACGGGAAAACTTGACTATGACATCATACACAATATACGTCATACAACATTTCTTTGAAATGCCACAAAATGAGTTTATCTGCTAATTTAACCAGTAAGAAATCATCAAACTACATAAAAACTTACTACAGCGTTTTGTTTTGTCGTTAGTTAAATCCCACATAACAAGTTATAAACAAATCACTGATCGCAATACACTTGTCAATATGACGTCATTTCTTACAACGTGACGTAGTTTGTATGCAGTGAAGCACAGATCAAGTAATATTTTCTCAACAAAAGATGTATTTTCTAATTAAATAAAATATTATTTACAGATATCCTATGGGCCAATAACTTGAATTTAATGTCTTCTTCGCTATTTTATTAATATATTTTCTGTACATTACGTGTTTGATTAACACTGCCGTATATTTGTATGCAAGTACATCGGAGGGTAATGTGGGGGGTCTTAATAAATCGATCTAGTGCAAGGGCATACACTCTATGGATCAAAGTAAGCTTTTACATTTCAACTATAGAACTATTAAGGTATCTGAAAAGTGCTGCGATCCTGATGAAATCTTAAAAAACGATTTATTTATATCAATATTTCATGCCGCTGACCAGCAAAAAATATAGCATTCGGTCATACAAGTATAATTTTAACAATGAAATTGCAGAATTTAGACAGGATCGCAGCACTTTTTAGAAACTACAATACGCGTTGAAAATATTAATATACTAAACATGGAAATTTATCTTGGTTATGCCCTTGCACTGGTGACATTTATATGTATCATCAATACTTCAAGTCAATGTGCTAAAATCGCGTGACTGCCGCATCACGTGACTAGTCTAAATATAAAATATAATCGTCCTCGATATATAGTTATTAATCATAATTACAATTATCCGATATAAATAATGTATTAAAAATAATCGCCATCCCCATTAAGAATACATTTTTAAATACAAATTAGTCGATATTTCCATTGCGCACCTTAACTGTACTGCGTCTTAATAATATGTTAAAATTTCATAAAAATAGCATAAGAAACAGACGACTAGTGTCATGATTTTCAAAGTATTGTTCGAATTGAGTTAGATGAAAATGACGTCGTCGAACGCGTACCCCGCGCACGGAAATGTAATAAATTGTTTTTGGTATGTTTTATATTCATCAGAGACGGGGAATAAGAGTACAGAAAGGACATTACAGACTATATTTTAATAGAAAAAAAATAGCACGAGATTCAGTTTTAGTTCCCTCTGCATCGTAAAAAAAGTTATTGCATGTAAAGTAGAGCACTGATTGTTGAATGCAGACATTTGGGAACGGGTCATGAACGTCGTCAAACAAGGTGTTATAAAATAAAATGTTACTCTTTACTTTGACAAGAAAAATAATTTGATTTAGCGAAGAGAAAATATTTTATGTTCCCTGTGACAACCCTCGTACATGAACATGTATTTGATATTCGTATAAACTTAAGTCTCTTTTTAATTTAACTTATATTTGTAATTTTTTTTCAAATCTTTGCTTGTGTAAAAACTATAACTAAATTCAATGTTCTAAAAAAATTATGAGAGACAGACAGGAAAACATTTTATACGCCACCATTACGCCAAAAGTATAGTCTCTGCTAGTTTTCAAAGGCAGTTTACCATTCTTATTCAAAGTTGTACACTTGTCATGAGGAAAGAAAATGGCCTTTAAATTCCTTACATCTAAATATATAAGAGATATAAAGATATGCACCGGTACTTTGAATATTTCATCAAGTCAGAAACCGGAATCCTACCTTAAATGTTGTTTTAATTTTGCGTGTCCTCATAAAAAATAATAAAGACATCGCTGTACTATTCCAAACACGTATTCGAATTTCTACAGAGAGAGAGAGAGATATATAGAGAGAGATTTCAATAATAACACCGATCGATAGCCCTACCTCCTATTCATATCAACCTAATAAATAGTCTGGGTACATGTCAAATTCCGGAAGAAGACACTAATGGATCGTTGCTTCAAGTTCGGTTCATGGCAACAAGGCATTGCCTTTGTGCCAAATGTTTACCTAAAGTAACCATGTATATTGCTCTAGCTATCTATTAAATACCTTAAAAATATTTTGGATTCACTTCATCTACAGTTTGGTAGAGAAGTCGCAAAAAGATCCAAAAAGAGCATTAAGTCTACCCATTTTTTATATAAAAAAATGTACGCTAAGCAATATTAATAATCTTCAAAATCAGTATAAAATGGCTACATATGGTGTCAAGTAAACATGCTACAAGTGAAAATAAAGTGCATATGTCATATTTCCTTTATTTTATTTGTACTTTAAATTTGTAGGCAATTTGGAGATAATTACAACATAGAATCGTGAGTATGCTGAACGTATTATATCAATTTGTATAATACTAAAACAAAGCACTGTTCTCCCAAAAATACATCTTTAAATTCAACTTGATTGTTGATTCATTTACAGACATTGTTAATACAATGTGCAATCTCAGTAGGATCAAGGACAACTCATTCATAATCTATACCCTGTCTACTAGATGTCCTGGGTTGATTTTAAACTGTTTTATATTTCTGTAATCCCAGGAATCAATTTCTAGGACTGCTGTAGGAGTACATTCTGTGAGATTTTGTCTGGTTTTTACTGTTGTGTATTGTTTATTTTGTCACAATTATGACCCCAGAGCTATGAATTAAATGCATGAAAATAGCCCTCTTTTTGCCTTCATCCTATAAAAACTTTTTAAAATCCTAAGACCAGCAAACCATGAATTCACAGAAAACCTCAGGTTGTATATATTCTGTTCTTTTTATCATGACCCAATCTTAAGGAAGCTATCAAGAAATACAAAACTGAAAAGAAAATATCATATTAATACAGAAACATTCCTAGGTAGTGTAGCTTCACGTTTATTCAAACCATCACAAGAAAGGTAGGCTGAGTTCATAATAGATCAACATTTTACATAAATATTCAGCAAATTACATATGAATTAAGGTTTGTTTCTTAAAATCATGAACACTCTGGGGACAACCTGTAGTTATATTTAAACTTTTAAATACTGGAATGATTCTTTCTTTTAAAACCGAGTGATCATGTGATCGAGATAGTCCTTGAACCTCTTTTTGACTTTTATTGCCAATTGACATTACTATATAAAAATTCCTACCTTGTCTTGCCGTTTCCAGTGTTTTAACCACTGTCGCTATATCTGTAAAAGGACAGACAAAACTTTATCAGGTCACGAAATCCTGGTTTTATCGATGTATTTGCAATTATTGGTTTAAATTTACTGATCTTAAAGCTTGTACATTAAAGAAAGACCTGAGTAGTTTCAAGTAATAAATATTACAATGTACTATATTTCTTTCAAAACTGCACCACTAGCCAACACTGCATGATAGCAAGGGGGACAATTTCAGTTTATTTTAGGAAAGAAATTTCGATGGTTGACTCGGAAGGTGTCTACCTTTTGGAGTAGTAATTTACCGTAATGATTAATTGGTATTACATTTCTTCTGTAACAACCAGAAAAGTGTAAATATGTATGGCCTGTTCGTTGAGGTTTGGATGATAATTGATTGTACACCTCAAAAGATGGGCACTAAATATGCATTAATTGTTTAAAAATAGACATTAAAAATGTTACATAATTAGGAGGTTTATTTTGTGAATTATGAATTATCACAGTCTCACTATTATCGTACTATTTTAATTGATGAATTCATAATTTGAGGATAATCTTGACTTTTAGTTTTGTCGATACTATTGCACTCGATTTTACGGAAGCCCATTTTTGACACATCAAAAAATATTTTTGAATTTGATATAACGAATTATCGAATTTGTTAAAACAAATTTAATAGATTATAACAATTTCCTAGAATTCGTTATAACGAATTAAATCTGTTATAACAGATATATTAAATTCGTTAATTTCGACAATTCGTTACATGGAATTCAAATATATTTTTTGATAGGTCCTAAACAGGCTTCCGTAGGGAACAATTGTGCAGGAAAATTAATAAAATGTGCATCGATCTCACCGCAGATTTTCCCTTTTAGTTCGATCATTTCATTTTGATGCGACTCTGAAATGTAATAATATAAAATATTAGAATTTACTTTTAACATGACATTACACTCATTTTAATGCAAATATATTCTTTTTTCAATTCTTATATTTTTTTGAGCTTCGATTAACAGAGACGTAGACAGTTGTTATTTTCATGATGTTATTTATGTTAAATTACAGATTTGCATATGTTACTTATAATGAAATAAAAAAAAGATTTTACATGCAATAAACAATGTTTCCCCTGATTTGTTTTCAATAAAAACATCAGAAATTGAAGAAAAGTCTTACATATAATATTTTTAAGGATACAAGCTACCGAAGGATAAAAGGTGTTTCAAGCCTAAACATAAACTTAAAGAAAGATAAATTTAAATAATACAACTGTGTTTTATTTTTCAACAAGCTTATGCACAGAATTTGTTCCCCCGCTTAGGGAAAAAGAAAACCATGCGCATTTCGGGGGAATGGGGGGGGGGGGTCTCCTAAATTTGTAGAATTATTGAATGTATAAATGTATATTGAAGCAAATAAAATATGCCAATATGGATATAAAGATGTGACTGCTTATTCTTTATTATGTGTATAGAAGATTCTTTTCATTTGAAATATTTATCATACTGTTATGATGATTTTATGAGTTTGTACAAGCCAGACCTCATAATTTTTTTTTCATATCACACGCTGAATACTATATTTAGTAAAAAAGAAGTATTTCGGAAAAAAAGAAGAAAATGAAACGTCCGAGATTCGAATCAGGGACCCATCACATGAGAAGCGAGAAATATACCATTAGACCGCTTTCAACTGACAAAAATTATAAGCAAACATCAAGTCACATATTATTATATATATATATATATATATATATATTCATGTTCGATTTTGTCAAAATTTTACACAATGCACGGTGTCTAATTTAGCCTTTATTAAACAGCTCTAATAGGTGTAATAAGAATATGAAATCCACCGAGAACCTGTTTTATACGTTATAACTCTCCTTATGCCTTGTGCTAAAAATAGCGACATGTAATACAATAAAAAAGTTATAAAAACGGGTCGGGACACTTTGATAGGGGCGAGAGAGGTCCAAGTGAGTGGTATAAAATTAGATTGCAAAAGCTCAAAATCTCTTTGAAATATCGCCCTGAAACGATAGTGTTACACTAAGACAAAATGTATAAATTAACGACCTTGAACTGAGACCTTTTGACCTCAAAAGCAATGGGGATCTTCCTTAGGTCACAGGTAGTTCTTAAATAAACTTTCATTGCAAAAGCAGGAAGGGTTTTTGAGATATCCCGCGGAAACAAAATGATATAACAGACAGAATTTGCAAATTTATGACCTTGACCTTTTGACCTCAAAATTTCTTCTCTAGTCAATAGGAAGTCGCTGTGCAAAATTTCATTGCGAAAGCTCAAAGGGTTCTCGAGATATCGTGTGGAAAAGAAAGCGTTACAGACAGACAGACAGAAAGACGGACGGACAGACCCAAATTAATATAACCCACTTTTCAAGCGGGGGACAAAAATGTAGAATAAAGGATGCGATAAAAACCCTTCAAGGAAAATTAATTGTGTAAGTCATACCTTCGTAATGTTTTTGTTTTTTCATCAAATCGTCTTGCAGACCTAAAGTAATAAATATATTTTTTTATCCTATTATGTTACAAAGTAAATAAAAAATATCTAGGTGAAGATCATTGCTCACCAGAACAGAGGTATATGGCAACTTTAGAAAGAATCTATCAACTCTAACTGTCGGAGTTTAATGTAATATTTTCTAATAATGTGAAGTTAACACAAATTTATAGGGCATGGTAATTTACAATGTAGCGTCTTCATGACAATCACACTAAAGCAGATTAAAATCATCTTTGAGATTTGTAAAACGTATATAAAAAACGTAAAAAATGATGGATATAATTTAAAGTTTCAACAAGAATGAAACACTATGCACTCGGTGGCAACAAAGTTCGAAAAAAGCTATTTTAGCATATACGTGACAGCAAGATACAATTTCAATACAAAATAAGCCCTGTATTTTTCTAAAATAGGAAAATGATGTACGAAATTAAAATTTATTCTATCTGAATAATAGGAATTCCATGGAGTAAGAATTTAATATGACCTCCTAAATGCTAATTGTGACGTCATATTAACTTTTGCATTTTCCTGTATTTTCTATAAAAAATACAGAAGACATCAATTTACAGTGGAATGTTTTTTTTTTCAAAAAACATACTCTGCCACCGTCGCCCAGGCAGATTTTGAGATTTTTCCAAGCATTTTACATAATATATAAAAAAACTGAATTGAGCGACGGTGGACGACACTATTTTCTAAAGGAAAAAAACCCACAGAATTGAGTCATTCTGAGGCTTTTCTGCATTCAACTTAGAAATGTACCAAATTAATAACCTCATATTTTCAGAACGGTCCTCGTTCATGCCATATTCTTTAATGATTCTCATCTTTATCTACTCAGCTCAAGCCAATTTCCTAACTTTTTGAGAACATTATGCTTTTAAGGCACAAAAAGCACAAACCATACATTCTTGTAAGTGGAGTTTGCATACAAAAATAAAGTCTCTACCTCTCATGGTTCAATAGTTATGATGAAGGTACGAAAAAGCTATTTTTAGCATATTTGTAACAGTCATGGTCATAGTCATTGATCTTGGTGCATTTGAAAGAGCTTAATAATTGAAGTGTGCATACCAAATATTATTTTTCAATCTGTCATGGTTAAAAGGTATGGCGAAAGTGAAAGTCTCCGGACAACATTATATTTAGGATAAAGGTCGCAGTCAGGGTCACAAGGTAATTGACCTTGATATCAGTCGAAAGAACTTATAAGTGGAGTATGCATACCAAATATGAAGTTTCTATTTTACACGGTTCATAAATTATGGCGAAGGTTAAGGTTAAAGTTTGCAGACAGATAGGACAAAAACAATAATCCATCAATCCCTTTTGCATAAAAAATAATATGCAAATGACCAGACGAATTACTATAGAATTTACATCTTTTTATACGCTGTGTATCATATATGTCATAGTGACATGCACCTAAATGTTACACGATTCTGGAAGAGCCGCCACTTGAAAAGGCCCTTCAATATACCTTGATGTGTTTAATTGTACCCGAGGAGTTTTCTATGTGAAAGTATTCTTTGGTGACTTATTGGTTTCATTTACATTTTAAAGAACAAAGAACAGTTATGTAGAAAACTTAAAATTGCTATTTAAGTGCAGCTCACCTCCGTATTTCGTGTTTAGTTGATGCATCATTTTATTTTGCTGTGACACTGAAATGTAATAATCTAAAATAATTAGAATGAACATTTCACATGGCATAACAATCAGTTAATACATCAATCTTCTTAGGTTAATTCTATTATGTTTTATGACTTTTAATAACAGACAGGGATAGACATCATTAGTTAACATTATGTGTTTTTTTTTCAAATGATAGAGTTGCATGTTTTATTTAGATAATAAAATATAAAAGAATGAAGTTTAAGTTTTATAAACAAATAACATTGATTTCCCTTTCCGTGATTAAAAAGAAACACATAAAAACTGAAGGCAAATATATTAATATTCTTACGAATCTAAGTTATATCTATATGAAGTTTAAAAGTATTTAATAGTAATACAAAAACAATAATACGGTTATCTTTAACTAATGAAACTGTTTCTTTTTTTTCATAAGTACTTGATAAACTTGATTGATTGTGTGCCACATACCTTCCCAATCTGTTTGTCGCCTGCACAGTTCCCCTTTCAGATCTAGAAAGAATTAGAATATGTGTCTTAATTACAATCTTTCATTATCACGTGCATGTAGAGTACTGTAAATAAAACACGAATGATACTGTTTCCCTTTGGGTTTTTTTTCGAATGAAAGAAATTAAAATTTCAAGAATATGAATAATTTTGAAATCAAAGAGCTGAATTACATTTTCACACAAATTTATCTAAATGAAAAGTAAAGAACAGGACATATTATAATATATCTTTTCAATCTTTTTCTCTAATAGAGACGAGAAGTGTCGGTTTGGCGGAAGGGCATACCTTACTATGTTTTACAGAAACGAGATTATATTTGACTCAGATTATTCCAAGGATTTAAGATGTTGCTGCACAAATACCGACAAAGTAAGTGTTTAGTTATTATTCGTAAAGTTTTAATTTGAAACAGGGTAAAAATTTACAGTCCATTGTAAGTTTCATAATTTTTTTATCGATTGAGAAAGTACATAGGATGAAAGCAGCAATATAATTAATTTATAGAATACTGTCTTAAATGTTATATCATATTTATTTTATATTTGATAAGTTTTGCCCTTGCGCCGACGTTGTTTTTTCATAAGATTTATAACTTGAATGGGAAAGAAATTTGACTCATAATGTGTACTAGCTTTAACATTCTCTTTGTATTAAATAATTATGAATAAGAAAATCAACTTAAACTTCCATTGTATATAAATTATACAAATTTTGCATTTTTATTAGTTCATTCCTATATTTAGCCTTATAACTCGCTGCGTAAATTTCACATGTTTAAAATTTATTATGAGGGAAAAAAAAAATTCCCAATAAAACTTTTGAAAGTTCCTCATTGCCTTTTAAGGAACCAAATTCACGAGGTCGAAAAAAAAACCAGAAAGGACGTCTTTTATTTCTTCTAAAAAGACGTCTAACAAGCACTTCTATGTATTAAAATTATAGAGACTGTCTAAATGATGATGTAAACGACTATTCACAGCCATGGTTGCTCATCTTACAGCAATTGAGGACCAAACACAGGCCCCCTCCGTCTTACAGACAAATAAAATGGAACACAGTTATACAATTACTTGTAAGTATTTATTTTGAGACTATCTTACAAAGGACAAGATTGGGTAAGACCAGTATTTGGCCCATGATTTTGGATGTCTTTTAGAATGACCCAACAGTTTATCCATAAAAACCTGTTGCCATCCCTGCGACAAAATGAGTGTTGGTTTTAAGATTTACAATATAAAGGGGTCTCAATGAGGTCAGGAAATAGGTCGATTTTTTACAATTTCTCATTTCAATGCAAATTTTCATTAATTTCACAGCACATTCTCTTTCAGAAAACATAGAGCACACGCTTGTCTATCTACCAAATTTATATATTTTATACACTGATATCAGACGCAGTTTATGTGTAAAATTCTCAGATAGGCAAGCGTGTGTTCTATGTATTCCGAAGAGAAATTTATCCGAAATATGATGAAATTCTACCAGAATTGAGAAAATTCGGGTAAATTTCCTATTTCTGCACCCTCCAGTGGCTTCCATGTAAGCTTTAAATCAAAATTAGTACTTGTCTTAAAGTAAGCCTCATTTTCACTTCTTAACTACAACTATCACAATTTTACCAGTGTTCCGATTTTTACATCAAATAAATGGCCAGATTCGGCAATTACCCTATCTTGTCCTTTATATTGGTAAAGACTTTTTTTACCTTCATTTCCTCGCTTTAAATGGTAAATCTCTCTCCATAATTCTGTAGCAAACAAAATGATAGTATAGTCATATACATTGTACGTAAATATACGTTTAATCATTTATAAGATATACCAGTGGAATGTTAATGTGTTAGGGCCGTTCAAGCGGAATCTTCTATCATTTATTTTTAACGACGTCATATTGTTATGAAATTTCACATAAATATATAAGTCAAAGATTCCAATACACTTTTGGCAATTATTTTGTATTTTTAACAAAATCTCCTGATGAAGATCCACGGAGCACGACCAAACATTTGAACCAAAAAAATCCGGAATCCTAGATTTATTTTTCTCTTACTCGCGATATTTTTCGACAATTTTCTCAAATATATCTTTCTTTTGTTCTATTATTGTGTATTTAAATTTCTGGCGTGATATTTCAAGTACTAGCAGAGATAAATGACGTCTCCTAAATTGACAGGGCACAACCTTTTTATTAAATTATGTGTACGCAGTACTGTTAAGGCTTCCCGGAGCTTAAAATGCAATTAAAACGTAACACTGTATTGCAAAGCTGATTCTGAGTTTTATTTTTTAGCTATGTACTTTAGTATGCAGAGAATTCTCTAGGCTATATATAAACATATTTTTTACGATGTCACATGATCTTATTGATCACGTGACGGTCATTTCTTCTTTCTTGAAATGTTTCACATAAATCGCTTCCGCGCAGTTTATTAACACAATTATTATTAACTTTTTGTGACTTAAACTCGACGATCCTTGTGAAACCGAAATGTGCTTGGGAAAAGTTATACTATTTTTTTGGAACAATTTATTTCATATTAACTTCAACTTACCGACAAATCTGGGGGTATATTCCGCTGAATATCTTTATTTATTTTAAAACAAAACTCCGTAAAAAGTCAATATATAATCTATACAAACGAATCCATACAACTCTGTCAGAGGTGAGTATGGTTTGTTATTCACAACAAAAGTAATAATATTGACTGAGGATTAATTTTACCAGGTTTGTCCATCATTTGAAATGTTACTGTGTTGCAGAGTTAACGCGAAGAACTAAAATTTCGCGGTATTTTCCCAATTAAATTTGCAACTAAATCACTGTTTGTGAAAATTACAAAACAATACATGCACACACTTATTTAAAAATCGTTAATTAGTTGCACGAATGCTATGGTCGTACATATTGTTAAAAGTAAAAACACATTCTGAAAAACAAAGGAAATCCTGAGCAATATAATCGTACTACTTAACATTTTTGAAAGTAAAATTGCCGTGATTATTTATCAGTTTTCTTGATCGAATTATTGCATTTAAAAAAAAGAAACTTCAGAACAGTTAAATATTTTAAGAGTTCCTTGAACATTTTCAAAATTTCAAGCAATTTAATCACATCAATTAAATGACTGATTTAATCAAACGATGTTTATGTCTAACTTCTAGTGCTTAAATATTTCTAGAGCTGTGTCTCTATAAACAGACATATTTAATTATATATTTTCTTAAAATAATACAATGTATTTTATTGCAACTACCAATTAACCCTTACATGTATATGGAAGAGGGAAAACAAATTATTTGTCGTTGTTCCGTCATTTGTAAAGTCCGGCGTGCGTCTAGGAGATAATTGATTATCCAACGTGAAGCCCTGGTATTGAAGTTCTCTAACGTTTATATTTGAAAGACGATATAATTGTTTGATTAAAGTGATAGTTATAGAAAGTTTGTGTATTTAGATTTTCTAATTATCATAGATCTTACTGTATCGGCAAAATTTTACTGTGTTGAATGCATAAAACTTGAATCGTTACTTTGTCTGAGAAAATTTTACTGTATTGGGAGCAACACAGTAAAACAGCTCATGGAGAACTCTGACTTCACCGCGCTATAGCCTTAGAAGACGATGTCCCAAGACCATAAAGTAAGATAAGATTTAAGTTAAAATTTCAATACTAGTATTGGCGTTTTCAAATTCTTTTGAAAAACTTTTACTATCACAATAATATTCTGACAATATGCTTTAACTGAAATATATAAGCCCGCATATTTTAATATGAAATTTATTATATTTCAAGCAGTCTTCTTGAAAGCAATCATTTCGAAAATTCTATGGTCAATTTAATGACCTTGTCAGCAAATACAATGTATTATATTATATATATATATATATAACGGAATATATTATATATATATATATATATATATAACGGAATGGACAACGAATTTTTTTCGTTATTTCCTCATCATGACAAGGAGCACAATGGGTGCGATCGGTCAACAGGGGATACCGACTCTTACATGGCACCCGATCCCACCCGTGAGGTTTTGGAGGTCCATGTTTGCTATGCTTCTACTTCATATTGCTTTATGGATTTTTGATCTTCAAAACTGTTCGTTTTTTGCATATATCATTCATACATTATATCTTTCAAAATATTTTCTTCTTAGTTTTTGATGTTGAGGTTTAGTAAAACTTTGAGAATATAGATTGGCACTGATTCTGCTTCATCATTAGACTATAAATGTTTTTCCTATGAAAAATAATTTATTTCAAAACCTTATTTATGAGAAGGTGAAAACACGTGTTGTAGCTATCAAGTTCACATTTATATGTATTGGCCACATTTTATCGATTAATGCTTTATTTCATATGTCGACAAGGTATATACATCCCAGTCAAACTGAAACAGAAGGCGCAAGGGTCTACAAGGGTCTTATTATGATTGTGTTTATTGACAAAAAGACAAGAAAGGCAAACTAACAACTATATTCTAGTATAAACAATTTGCTTGAATTTTTCGATTGTCAACTTCCCTCATTTATGTCGTGATATTCCACTTTCACCATCAGATTGTATTTACATCTCCTGACTTTTCGATACAAGCAAACATGCAACAAGCACAATCAAATCTTAAAATTACACAGAATACTGACAGATAAATTGATAGGGATTTCAATAATTTCGTTGAAATTTGGCATTTCATAAAAATCTGTATTCGTCAACATGATCTATAAGATAGGGTTCACATCGGATGTAACAATTCAGCATTCTCTACGACACATGAATCTAACATCTGGTATTTCAAGGGCCAAATTTCTTTTTGATGATAGATTTTTATATATGAGATTTACATTGATTTGATTTTTTTTATCCTTAACCCACTTAATTCCACTTCATGTTTTCATAAACGTTTGAATTTGCTACAATACCATGCATAGAAACTAACTCTTTATTGTAACATCCGAGATAAATCGAGCAAATGTTGCTGAATGTTCTCTTTTATGTGAGTGTTTATGCAATAAGAAGAATAGTATCAAGAAAAGTGATTGGCTCATTTGTTTTTGTCCAAAAAGCCATACCTTTGTATTTCTCCATGATTTCATTTCTTATTTCCACTCTTGTAGCTACAAAATAAAACAAACTGCGTTAAAAACGCATCGACATATAAATTATCAAACACGCAATTGACCCATATTACAACATTTGAAAGATATATGGGCATTGTCCAATGTAAAGGTTTTTGTTCTGCAGAGCATCTGACAGCTACTTAAGGTAAGGTTTGCGTTTACAGGGAGATAACTCTTGCGAATCACCAAAGCGTTTGAAACAGGCGAATTTAAACCAGCGATGCAAAGCATCTCGGTAACGAATTTCCTCTGTCATACTTGATGTTTGTTGTCACTTGTTAGGACTAAAAACAAAGGACGTTTTAAGGAGAAAGTCTTACAACAAATCAAAGCATAGGAATCTTAGAAGCCTTTGAGATTAGCGTGATGCATGTGGATGAACAAATAAAGGAGGACTTGTTTATTTTCGATACGGAATGTGGCAAGTTGTACGGCCATTCCGATCAGAAGAAAGTTATCGACGCATTGTGCTGTTGTGTGTTTCTCGCTTCACCACTACACTAAAATTTTAAATGAGAATGGGAAAGAAAAAAGAAAAGGCCTGAGAACATCCTGTAAAGTATTATGCTTTATGCAGTCCGAACAGGGAAGAAAAGTCACGGTGCATTTGACCATGTCCAATGATGATGTTGACAGTTTGATTGTTGATAGTATTTTCATCAGGTAATTATTCAACTATTCATTTTACTGAAAGTTATGAATGATCTTCTGACTACGGATTTAAAAACGATGAATAAACGGTACATGGATATCAGGATATGGCTAATATCCCAACATTGCCAAAAAATAAAAAAGCATTCATTCTAGAAATTATAAAAAAAAATCCTTGCTTTTTAGGCCTAATATTTGTAACATTATTGGAACAGGTATTCAATTGTTCAAGTTACCTTTTAAATGAGGTTTGATTTTAATTAATATCTCATTTTCTAATTAATACAAATTGTGCATGACAAGAACATATTTAATTTTCTTGACCAAGCATTTGCATTTCACTAATTCAATCTATAAATTTTACAATAATTTCATATTGATTCTTCATTGATTATATATTGGAAATTTCATTTCATTGATTGAATGAAACTCAGTCCAATTCCTTATGCAATTCCAAAAATGCAATTTCTTAAATGTTATTGTAAAAATGAACACATATGATTTCAGATCATGGGTCATTAATTGGAATAGATAAGAACCCAAAAGAAGTACTTCAGTGTTTCCTTAAAAGATTTGTGCCATCAATCAAAGTACTAGAGGTCATCCCATATCAGCTCAAGAATATTAAAGAAAGTTGGATGGATCAAGATGTTGAACCAGACATTGCAAAATCAATGGAGATTTGGAAAAGAAATGATGATTTGTTGTACCCAATGCATATTTTTTATATGTCTATAGATTGTAGAAAAAATTTAATGTTTAACAACATCCTATCTACCTGGTAGTATATACATGCTGTTTTCAATATATTTAGAAAATATGTGTATGTGATGATTGCAGTACATGCTCTGTTTGTCCATCTTTGAATTTGTTTTCAGTAAAATAATTAAATGTATTCATCATAGGTATTAATTGAAGGTTGCTTTTGTCTACACATGACACTTGGAAATTGAAAGGTTGTTAATTTAGTAG